CCCCAAAACCCCAAAACCCCAAAACCCCAAAACCCCTTTTAATTTTATTTAATTAAAAATGTTATAAATTAATTTCAAATTCTTGAGGAAAATGATTGATGACCCCAGATTTGGCAAAGACCAGCTTAGTAAGTTATAAGCCACCCTATTTGAAGATATATGAGGTATTAATATATCTGTAGATGAAACAGTTGATTACCTGAGCAAGCAAGAGATTGGAGTGATCATCTCACAAGGCTTGGCAGAGACATATCGTGAACAACCAAGCAACCCTGTTGATTACTTAGGCAAATGGCTCCTAAACAACACTAGGAGGGAAGCCCAAAAGGTTTGTGACGATGACAGGAAAGATCATGTCAAAGAACTCATTGCTATTTATGAAAGAAACCTCAAACTGGCTAAATTAGAGGAAGATGATAAAAAGAAAATACAGAAGGCAAAAGATGACAAGGAAGAAGCTTTCTTTACTAAAGTTGAAAAATGTGAGGATCATGAAGATATTGTTCAAGATCTTTGTGAGTACCTCCAGGAGTACACCAACTCTACCTCTGTCTTTGTGAGCAAATTAGTTCAGGAGAAAAACCCTATCGAAGAAGACGACAATGATAAGGCACATTTGAAAGAAGATGGGGCTCTTTTCTTAGACATTCATCATTCAGCTCCAGAGGAGTTCAAATTTTTGTTAAGAAAAACAATCGGAATTGATGAAGGAGTTGTTCACGACGTTTTCAAGGAGGAACCTCAAACAGAGCCTAATGAAGTTAAGGCTACTGAAGAAGAAGCTGAGGCTGAAGGGGAAGAACCCCCTGAACAGAAGCCAGCCTCTGTGGATATTGAAGAGATAGTCAGAGAACCAAGGATAAAATTTTTCAAAGTTCCTCGACTTGGAAACCTTTTCTGTATACGTTTGAGTTATGAAAGATGTCTCTTTGAGCAGGCGTTGGATGAAGCAGTCAAAGATGTCTATGACGTAGAAAACAAGAAGAGGCAGCAAGAGATCGAAAAAGCAATGTTTGAAGAACAAGAAGCTAAAAGAAAAGAAGAGGCTGAAAAGAATGAAACTGAGTTTGAACCTGAGGAGAAAGAATGGGAAGAAATCAAACTCAAACCTTATGAGACTGAGATGGTCGATTACGCGGTCTGCTTAGACACAATGGGCCAGGACAGACAGTTCACTGAAGCTGAGAAGGAAAAAGTCTTCAAAGCAATCATGACCTTTTCTAAAGTATGGCAGGAGCAAGAGAGAAGGAATCTGGAAAAAGATGTAAATAGGCGGATTGAAAAAGCAGAAGAAGATAAGACCTTTATTGAAAAAGCCAAAGCTCGCTTTGAAGAAGTCTCTGAAAAGTGGGTTGAGCAGAATCTTGAGGAAAGTGAGGAGAACAGAGACGAAAAACTGAAGAGACTTGAGTATAAGAAGATGATCCTCAACGGAGAAGTCATTGAGATCCGTCCTGAATCTCCTTCAGAGACCAAGAAAGAAGATAGAAGGGAGAGAAGAAAGAGAAAAGAGAGGGAAGACAAGGAAAAAGAAGAGAATAAGGATGATTCTAAAGACCAAGCTGAAGAGGAAGATATTGATTTCACTGAGAAATGGAAAAATGATTTAAAAGAGCTCACACAGTATAGAGTTATCAAAATGGCAAGAGTCATCCAAACTGCATTCTACCTGCTTAAGTATACCAGGGAAGATATCTGCGAGGAGAAGACAAATTGTCTAGACTGGAAGAAAACTAAGAAGTATCTCAATGATGACTTCTTTAAAAATCTGAAGGAGTACCAGCCAATTGGAGAGAAGAAGGATGAGTATAAGGAGTACCAGAAATTGAATTTCTTGATGAAATATCTAGAGGAAATACAACTCCAAGATATCGAGGCATACAGCCTTGCTTTGGGTCAGCTCTTCCTGTTCTTGCAGCTAGCGATGAAAATTCGTAAAGAAGATGTGCTTAAGAGGTACCTCAATAATCAGAGATTGAAGGAGGAAAGAGAAACAGCTGAGAAATTAGAGGAGGAAAGACTTGAAGAAAGAGCAACATTCCTTGAAGATGAGAGGCAAAAGTGGGAAGACGAACACAAAAAGCCAGAGCCTAAAGAAGGAGAAGGTGAAGGAGAAGATGATGAAGAGGACGAAGAAGCTGAAGGAGAAGGTAAAGAAGAGAAGCAGTTTGATGAAGAAGCTACTCTTGCTAAATTTGATAAAGAGAAACCTCCTACTGAGATCCCTCCGCCAGTTGTAGATGATATTGACAATGATATTGAGCTCACTGAAGAAGATATTAATCCTCCTCAGGAATAAATTCAGTTCATTTCAACATTGAGGCCGATATGAGGGGTTTTGGGGTTTTGGGGTTTTGGGGTTTTGGGGTTTTGGGG